ATCATCATCAGCATCAGCATCAGCATCAGCATCATCATCATCATCATCATCATCATCATCATCATCATCATCATCATCATCATCATCATCATCATCATCCTCATCATAAGCATCATCACCATCACCACCATCATCATCATCGTCGTCATCATCGTCATCATCGTCATCATCCTCATCATCATCAGCATCATCAGCATCATCATCGTCACCACCAGCATCAACAGCAACATCATCATAAGCCTCGGCCTCGGACTCGGCCCCGGCCTATCCTCCCTGCTCCGCTTTTCCCGCCTCCTCCCGCACCCCTCGCCCACCTCCCTCTCACCCTCCCCCCTCCTGCGGGGAGCAGGGGCAGGGGCAGCGGCACCAGAAGCACCAGAGAGGAGGACGCCCACGGCCACCGGCGACGTCGACGGCCGACGACCCAGACCCGACCGCCCACGACAGAACGACCACGGAGACGCCGCCGCTGCCCAGGCCACAAGCCGCAGGCCGCCGAAGCAAGCCGCAGGCCGCCGCAGGCCGCCGAAGGCCGCCGAAGGCCGCCGAAGCAAGCCGCAAGCCGCCGCAGGCCGCCCGCAGGCCGCCGCAGGCCGCCGCAGGCCTCTCTGCCCGCCCGCGGGGGCGGCGCGGGGGCGCACCAGGAGACACGCGGCGCCGTGGGACCTGGAGCGGCCGCCAAGAGGAGCGCGCGCACGGTGGCGAAGGCAGAGGGGGAGGAGGAGGATGAGGATGAGGAGGAGGAGGAGGAGGAGGAGGAGGAGGAGGACCAGTGTAAACACAAGAGCCATCAACGACGTTGGAATCAACCCTCCCCCCAAGCTTCCTCTTCATAGGCCCCTACAACGGTTCATTTCCACTGGGGGAACTGCCTCGTTTGAAGGCAACCGTTTGAAGACCCTGAAACATGCTAAACTATCATTATCTGCATTTCATGCCAGAACGCCATCCCTGGGACTTCAATACCGCGAAACAACGTAACTGGTGCACTGGTACCCTCATGTCTGGTACAATTGCTTTTTTTGAAAGGAAAAATGTGCGCGGAGCTGAGGCGAGAGCCACATGTTGAAAAGGAGCTGCCCTCAATCCGTGAAACCCTTGCAAATGTTTAAAGCGAATGTGCGCGGCGCTAAGGCGAGAGCCACAATTTGAAAACCACCCGCCCTCCATATGTGAAGTTGTTGCTAATGTTTACGCTTCAAGGTCAAAAATGGTGAGGTAGTCTCAGGCGAAACACCTGGCCCGCCCTTTCGATCGGCCTCGGGGTGCGACGGGGGGAAGTTATGCATAAGGAAAAGAATGGCGGAGGGGACCCGAGAGGCCAGGGGACCCGTAGGGAGAAGGATCCTCTACGCCGGGACCAACGGGCCCACGGCGAGCCACGCTGCAACACACCCGCCGGCCACATCATACCCTTCTCCTTTTTCATGAGATTGAGGTTCCGAATTGATGATGTGTAGGAAGCCCTCTCCTTTCCTCCCTCCTCCTCACTGTTTGTCTACTGTTACCTAATCGTCGACTTTTTGTTATACTCCCCCAGGGCCGGCCGGACGGCCAGGTCCAGGGGGAAGCGGCAGCGCGTGGAGAACTTTCATGCCAACAGGAAGCAGCAGTCACGAGGAGAAGGAGGAGGAGGAGGAGGAGGGGCACTGGACTAATGGCCCGATTCGCCAAGAGAAGCGCCTGCGAGCGGCCGCCGCGTGCCGCAGCGAGAGAGAGGATGGGAATGAGAGGGAGGATGGATGGAGGGGGGGAAACGGAGAGGGAGAGGGAGCGTGAGGGAGAGAGGGATATACATATAGATGTATATGTGAGCGTTTTTTTTTATTCTCGGGGGAAAACAAACCTACCTCGCTTTTGACCACCCTCGCTTCCAAGAGATACCAAACGATGCCAAATTGCGGCCTGTACTGGTCAGGCCGCTTGACGAGGAGGCGCGTGGTATGGCTTGGTTTTGCCTGGAAGCGAAAGCGGGGGAGGTAATTCACGCTCTGATATTCGGCGCTTCGACATTGGGCGGAAAGGGGGGATGGGGGGGGGGGTCTGGCTCCGGACCTCTGCTCAGTGCGACCGTTTGCTTCGTGCGACTGTTGCTGAGGGACCCCACCTGCCTGAAACAGGCGCCAAAAACAGCCAAGATCTACTCCATGGCGAGGGAGGGGGGGAGGGCTGACGCCGATCGGCAAAACAATGAATAAAAAAACGCCCTATATATATGTGTGTACAGACAGATGTATGTATACACATAAGAAGAGGGAGAGACAGGGAGAGAAAGAGAGAGAGAGAGAGATAGAGATAGAGGAGAGAGCGAGAGAGAGAGAGAGAAAGATAAGAGACAGAGGGAGATAAAACAAACAAGCATAAAAGGCAGGAGGCAGAGGACGAGGAGCAGAGATGAGGAGGGGAACGAGCAGCACGAAGAGGGGGACGAGCAGAAGCAGCTGGCGCTCCTCCAAGCTCCCTGGCTCCCCCACCTCCTCCTCCGACGAGCCTGAAACCTCGGAAGCGGAGGTCTGCAGGAGGAGAGGCAACCGTCTCGCGGACCGGGCTGCCGAGCTCGGGGCAGGGGCCCACCCGAAGCCAGGCCCTGCGGAGAGCGAGAGGCTGCCCCTCGACGCACCAAATGATTGGCCTGTTTTCCACCACCACCACCATAAGTTGGAGGGGGAGGGGGTCCTCCTCCTCCTCTTCTTCGTCCTCCTTCTCCTCGTCCTCCTCCTCCTCCCCCCTCCAACTTATGGTGGTGGTGGTGGAAAACACGCCCATCACCAAATGCTGCGCGTTAGAGGCATCAGGCCGGCCACTCGCCGCATCCCTCTGTGAGCAGGTCGCGACCCCTCGGAGGCCGAACGCGTGCAGCGTGCGACGAGGCACTCCTATAGATAGCGTGTCGCCAAGCGGCCCCGGCGACACGCTGCACCCTGCGAGTGGATAGCTTCTCGCTCCGCTCCGCGGTAGACTGGGAGAAAAGCTCGGGCCGCTGGCGCTTTTGGAAAGGGGGACGTGAATATAAACAGCGCGTCGCGCCGAAGCGTGGTGGGCCGGCACCGGCGCAGCGACACGCGGAGCCAATGTTCCTCACCGTACACCCTGCGAAATGGTTAAGAAATCATGGGTTAAGAAATTCATAGTCTCAGAAATTGAATAAAACCCAGAACTTCTATCAAAATCTTGGGATTTACATTGAAACGTTAAGAATAATCGAGACTCTGGCCGAAAACTTAGGTTTTCTTAAGCATCGCCTAAGGTGTAGGCATCGGAGGTCGAACGCGTGCAGCGTGCGATGAGGAACTCCTATAGATAGCGTGCCGCCAAGCGGCCCCGGCGGCACGTTGCACCCTGCGAGTGGACAGCTCCTCGCTCCGCTCCGCGGGAGACTGGGAGAAAAGCTCGGGCCGCTGGCGCTCGGAAAGAGGGGGACGTGAACATAAATGGCGTGTCGCGCCGAAGCGTGGTGGGCCGGCACCGGCGCAGCGACACGCGGAGCCAATGTTCCTCACCGTACACCCTGCGAAATGCTGAAGAAATCATGGGTTAAGAAATTCATAGTCTCAGAAACCCAACATTTCTATCAAAATCTTGGGATTTACATTGAAACATTAAGAACAATCGAGCCTCTGGTCGAAATCTTAAGTTTTCTTAAGCATCGCCTAAGGTGTACCCCCACGCCTGGTGCTGCTCCAGACCTCGAGCACGCCCGGGCGGGCGGGCGCCTCGGGCAGCGCCGCGCCTGCGCGCGAGGCAAGGAGGGCGAGGACCGCCCCCGCCCCCTAAGGCTCCTGCTCTGAGCCGCGTCGTCTTCACCCTGGGCTGGTCGAGCCGAGGAAATCGCCGTTGCGCTGGTACTGCTTGCTCGGACGGACCGCTTCTCTGTGTCTCGACTGCCGCTACTATACGGCAACACTGGAGGCAGAGTCGTGGATATGGGGAGGGCTTGTGCTCGACTTTGGGCTCCCTGGAGCTGGCTGCACTGCCTGGCAACATCTGCTCCAGAACAAGCATCCCCAGCAGCGGAAGAGGAAGAAGACCGTAAAATATTGCCGCCCCTGTGGTCATAATAAACTTGTTGGCGTGTGAGCGTTGATGCTGAACAAGTCCTCCCCCTAGTCGTCGCCGTCGTCCTCCCTCCCACCCACTCACTCATCCTCATTCTTCCCCCCACAGACACACACACACATCTTCACCGCTCCTCCTCTTCCTCCTCCTCCTCCTCCTCCTCGTCTTCCTCCGACCTCTCTTCCTCCTCCTCCTCCTCCTCCTCCTCCTCCTCCTCCTCTTTCTCTTTCTCCTCCTCCTCCTCCTCCTCCTCCTCCTCCTCCTCATCCTCATCCTCCTCATCCGCCTCCCCTTCTAATCGTCCTACCCCTCCGCCCCCCTCCTCCTCTTCACTTTTTCACACACCCCACCTCATCGCCACCGCCGCCGCCAAGGTCGCTCTCGTCGCGGGCTGGGGCCCGTGAGCGGGTGGGCCACGGCGCGTGCTGGCCTGGTGAACGGCTTCGGAAACAGCAAGTACGACAGCAACACCTGAGAGGGGGGGGGAAGGGGAGAGGCCCCACGTCGGTAGTGGACAAGGAAAAGAGGAGGAGGAGGAGGAGGAGGAGGAGGAGAAGGAGGAGGAGGAGGGAGAGAAGGAGGATCCAGGGGGAGAACGGCGAGGAAGAGGAACAGGACACAGCCGGGGACAAGGACAGGGAGGAGGAGGAGGAGGAGGAGGAGGAGGAGGAGGAGGAGGAGGAGTCGGTCGTGCCGAAGGAGGAGGAGGAAGAGGAGGGGAGGAGGAGGGGGAGGAATGATGATAGAGGACGGACGAGAAGGCATGGAAAAAGGGCAGGAGGAAGGAGGAGAATGAGGATGAGGAGTAACGAAAGAAAGAGGACGAGGACCAAAACAGGAGGTGGGGGCGCAAGGCTGTGAAGTTATCTGCTGGACTGCTGTCGTGTACCTCCTGCCTCTTCAAATGTGCCCCTCTGCTGCTGTCATTTGGGAAGTGGCCCGCAGCGTAACGTAAAGGGGACGGGCGAGATTCCTCGAATGCTTGGCCGCCCTGGGATGCCCTGGAACCCTTTACTGAGGTCACCGCACGGCCAGGAGCGCACAAGATGGCTCGAAGACGGCCACCAGAAGCACCGAAGAAGGCACCGAGAGTCCGAGAAGGTCGAGGATGGCCCCACAATGCCTCTCACATGGCCAGGGAAGGGGTTAATACTCACCCGAGATGACACAAACCATTGAATGCTTGCCATCGCGGACCCCAAACAGTGGGTTCGAGCGCTTTCGTTGTGAACCTTCGTTGTTTCATTTGCGCATGGTGCGTGCAACATATACGTTGGCAACTGCACAACCAAACAAAAAACACCTATGAACTATACATGACGCAATCCACTACGCAAGCACATGTACACATACGTGCGAAATCCACAGCAAACTACGCGGTACAAACGACTGGGTGGACCATACGGGGTGCAGTTAAGTTTGGCCAACTCATGAGTTGTAAACCCCACGCTTGACGCGGAATCACCCCGCCCTCCCACCGTCAAATTGTTTTGCAAAACCAATGCGGCGGCGATTGCGACGACTGATTGGCCATGGATGGCGCATCTCTGCGGCGGCGCTGGCGCGCGCAAGCTCGCGCGCAAGGCGGCCACTTGGTTTGGGACAACCGATGCGGCCGCGATGGCGCTTATCAATGGCAGCGTCCCAGCGCGTGTCAGAAGCCGCGCCGGCGCGCGGGCGTTTCAATACAGGTCGGTGACTCGGGCAAGCGCGGCATCGAGACGACGCCGACAACAGCGGCAACGATGATGATAGTAGGCACGGTGGTGGCGATGATGACGATGACGACGGCCAGGTCACTGACGACGCCGACGCTGGCAACGCTGGGAACGATGATGACGTCCATGTGTCGATGATGAAGGTCTTCGAACGATGATGGCGGCAATTGCAGCGATTGTCGATGGCGATGACGTGATGCGGCGGAATCGATGAGGGCGACGGCGAGGAAGTACACGCGCGCGGACAAACCCAGGCAAACGTTCGGTAGAGAACCATTGCGTTGTTGAAACGTGTTTGAAAAGCTCGATTTTGAAATAAACTATAGACGACGTCAGCTGATGCACATTAACTCACGATGGCCAACCTAAGGCTTCTTGTGCTGTATACTGGAACCGTTGAATGCCTGACATGTCTGGGTGTGATTTCGGCATGGGCGCGCGCGTGTGCCTCGCGCTTTCTGTTGGAAGAATTATTGGGAGATGGTCTCTTGCGATCAACCAGCATGCGCGCATCATACTTTGTGACAGGGATGAATGAGGGCGGTCGACAAGTGGACTGCCTGGAATGGGACGACTTCGCGCGGCGCAGACCTCCGCTTCCACGAGCAGCACAAGGAGGCGGTGCAGCTCGAAGGGCTTCAAGCGAACCAGGTGCGTGCGATCCGGCCGACAGAGCAGGGCGAACTCAAGGTCGGGCCTGGAGCCCTGGAACTACTCTGTCGAGCCCGGCCGCGGCATCGAGCCAAGGCTGGCGAACGAGCGGGTAGAGGGCATCCAGGGCTGGCCCGAGAACGTGCCGCCCATGCCCGAGTGGAACGTCCAGGACGGCGACTGCTTCCGCCTCGAAGACTTGCCTACGGACACCGAACGGGGTGAGAACCCCCTGCGTCCTGGAGCGTTTTCCGCATAAGCCCGCGGGAGCGGCAACTGCGCGACGCTTCATGGCACACTCCCGCGCCAGTAGAAAGAGCAGGAATAAAACGATCTCGCGCGACGGGCGATGGATACTTTTGCGTCGAGAATGAGAGACAAATCGTCGTGGGAAATCGTGAAATCAGACGCCACAGCGCGGGCGTCGCAATCAAGGCGGGTTGTTGCTGAGCGCGCGCTGAAGAGTTCAACGCGGCTGCCCTCGCAGCGCGACGCTCGTCGCTATCGCCCGAATGGCGTTTTTTTTGCTGGCGCTGCCATGAGAAACGCCGCCATGAATCAGAAGCGGCCCGCGACCGCCCAGATTGCGAGAGTTGGTTTCGAGCCAGCGCCGGCAAAAGGGGGAGGGGAGGGAGGGAAAGGGGAGCGGGGGAAACGGGGGGGCGGGCGAAGAAGCAGGGCAAGGGGGACCGGGACAGGGATGGGGCAGGGAGGGGAAAGAGTGACTGAGTGGGCACAATCGCGCTGCGAGTCGAAAGCGAACTGCGAACACTTGCGAGCGAATTTCTCGGCTTCGCTTAAACATACCCGCGTCACGACGCATTCGGACCCCCAAGACACTGGTCCAGGTTCCTGATGAATTCATTTGTGCAACCAAACAAAAAAACCTCAATCCGCACAAAAACTCTGTGGTTCGCATTGAGTGAGACGGATGGACTCAAACCCCTGCTACGTGTAACGGCCCCACTTCTGGCAACGCCTTAAAACGTCAATTTATATAAGCAGGGGTGCAAACACTAAGTCTCCAGCCACACCTTTCTGGCAGCTCGGGCGGCCGAACCACAAACAGTGCTGGCACTGCTCCCCATTCTCCGCCACACGATGCCTGGTGGCGAACGAACCGGTACGCCGAAGGCGCAGGAGGAGGCGGAGGGAGGAGGCAGGGGAAGAGGGGCGAGGAGGAAGACGATCGATCGGGAGGGAGGGGGGGGGAGGAGGGTAGACCCGAGCTGCAACCTTTGACTCTGATCCTGCCTGGGGGGGGCCCTGTCGCGGGGCGCACCCTGGAGCCAGTGCGGCTGCAGGGCGGTCCGGCCTGCCATCCTGCTACCCTCCATTCCCGTGCATGTCCCACGGCAATGTCTCCTATTCTCCCCCTGCCCGATGATAATCTCCATCATAACCTGCCCTCCCTGTCCATAGATGACAAACAAGGTCAGGAAGAGACAGGGGGGGGAAGCAGGACGCGGCCGTGCCCGCCTGCCTCGCGGCTTGAGCCGCGTCCGAGGATTGAGCCATGTCACAGGAGCCGCAGGGCTCCAGCTCGAGCGGCCGTGGCGTGCGGGCTGCCCGGGCCGGGGTGGCGCACGCGGGGGATGGTGCACACTGCGGGACACACAAACGTATACACACCACAAATCAAAAGATTCCCCAGCTTTCCTATCTTTTGGGGGTTTTGTTCTCCCATCTTTTCTGGGGAATCGACGATTGATTGTGTCTGTGTGCTTTTTCCCCTCCTGAGTGGTGCACACTGGGGTGATGCACGCTGGGGACGGCCGTTGGTGCAACTGGAGACGCCGACCAAGTGGTGCACACTGGTGGCGCTCACTGGAAACACTGGCCCAGACGCACGTGGTGCACACCGGGATCTGCACAGTGCAAGCCGTACACAAACGCCCCAGCGTGCACCCGGCCCGGCGCCCCCAGTGCGCACCGCTCGGCATCACGTGGCGCCTCGGTGCAAAGAGGACTTGTCGATCGAACTTATACACCCTGCGAAATGCTTAAGAAATCATGGGTTAAGAAACTCATAGTCTCAGAACTTGAATGAAAGCCCAACATTTCCATTAAAATATTAAGATTTGCATTGAAACGTTAAGAACAATCGAGACTCTGGCCGAAAACTTGAGTTTTCTTAAGCATCGCCTAAGGTGTACCGACGATCCGGGCGCCCCCCCACGCTGTCCACCACGCGGCGAGCCTCCGTGGCCCGTCCAGGGAGTGCGCAGGCAGGGGCGGCAGAGGAGAGGATTGGGACCCGGGGGAGGGGAGCGAGGGGCGCCCAGGGGCCGGAAAAACCGGAGGGGGACGAGGAGGAGAACGCACCGAGGAGGAGTGGAGGGAGGGGGCGGGGCAGAGAGCGGGGGCGAGGGGGGCGACGGGGGAGGGAGAAGGGAGGGGAGGGCAAAGGGGGGGAGAAGAGGGGAACGGGAGAGGGACGGGAAGGAGGGGAGGGGGGAGGGCAAGGGGAAAGGGGGGTGAGGGCAAGAGGGGGGAGAAGAGGGGGACCGGAGGGACGGGAAGGAGGGAGGAGGCACGAGAGGGACGGGGAGCGAGGGTCGGGGGGGCGAAAGAGGAGGGAGGTGAGAGGAGGTCTCGGCCCCCGGGTACCCTGCCAAGCAGGACTGAGCCACGCTCCCGGCCGAACCAGGACACCAGCGGATTTGTCGCGGTCTGCTGACCAACCACGACACGGCAAGGCACACTGGCGTGTCTCGGAAAACCAGGGTGCGTTGGCAGACCGCGCACGGCACTGCACGGCAAGGCACTCTTGCTTCACGGTGAAGAGCAAGCGCAGCACGGCACGGCATGGCACATGTTCTGCACTCTGAAAACCAAGCACGGCAAGGCACGGCACGGCACTCTGAAAACCAAGCACGGCACAGCACGGCAAGGCCTGTCTGTCGACAACAGCCACCGCCGCGAAGCACGAGAACGGGCAACCGTCTATTAACCAGCACCCGTGCATGAAAGCAAAAGAGTCAACACCCTCAAAAATAAATCTTCCTGGCGAAAGGGCCCAACCATATGCAGTTGTGAATTCTGCAAGGCAGGTGGGACGAAGGAGGGGGAGCTCCTTCTGGGGCCACGACACGTGCAGGGTATGCCGACATGGGCGGGGGGGGTCATGTGGACACCGCCGCCAAGGCCTTCGGCGGAGTGCCCTGAGGGCAGACCACGAAACATTCGACTGGGTGGCGCGGACGCATGTGATCACAGCCACTGGAGCCTTCGGTCCCATGGGGCCACGAAGCGCTGTACTGGGTGGCGCGGACGCATGTGATCAAGGCACTGGGGCCGTCGCTGGGGCTCCCTATAGGGCCACGAAAGCGCTGTAATGTGTGGCGCAGACGCATGTGATCACAGCCACTGGGGCCTTCGGTGGAGCCCCTTTTACGGGGCCACGAAACGTTGCATTCTGTGATCACAGGCAGTGGGGCCGTCGGTGGAAGCCCCTTTTATGGGGCCACGATACGCTGACGCATGTGATCACAGCCACTGGGGCCAACCGTGGAGCCCCCTTTATGGGGCCACGAAACGTTGTATTCTCGGGCGCGGACGCAAGTGATCACAGC